TGGTCGTGGTCGTCTTCGTCGCCATTTCAGGGGTCTGGGCGTTTGTGGAGATCTTCATCGTTAAGGCTGAGCGCGTTCTGGAGAGCTCCTCAAGATGCACCCCAGATCCGAACACGACCACGACCACGACGACCCCCCACTAATGATACGCGTCCCCCTTCCTCCGCCTCCCGCTCCCTCTTCCCTCCTGCACTTCCCTCCCTCCTACGCATCCCTGCTCGCAAATCCTCCCCCCATCCTCTCCCTACTCAAACTCCATCCTGCACATCGTCGTGCTGATGCTCATGTTTCCCTCCCCCCCCGTTCATCACATCAGCCTCCGCCTCAGTCTCATCATCCGCCTGCTCATCCGCATCAGCATCATCATCACCATCAGCATCCTCATCATCAGCATCATCAGCATCATCAGCATAATCAGCATCATCATCAGCGTCAGAGGCATCCCCTTCAGCAGCAGCATCATCAGCAGCATCGTCCAAATCATCATCATCATCATCATCATCATCAGCAGCAGCAGCAGCATCAGCACCAGCATCACCATCAGCATCCTCATATCATCAGCATAATCGTCATCATCAGCATCATCATCACAATCATCATCGACAACATCAGAATCTTCAGCATCACCAACAGCAGCGTCCTCAGCATAATCACCAGCATCGTCGGCATCATCATCATCATCATCATCATCATCATCATCATCATCATCCTAAACAGCATCATCATCAGCAGCAGCATCAGCATCATCAACATCATCAGCATCAGCAGCAGCAAGATCATTATCGTCCGCATCGCCATCATCATCGACATCATCCGTATCAGCAGCATCATAATCAGTATCAGTATCGGCATCTGCAGCATCAGCATCATCAGCAGCATCAGCATCAGCATCAGCACCAGCATCATCACGAACGTCTTCATCAGCATCAGAATCATGTGCATCGTCAGCATCAGCATCAGCATTATCATCATCGACGTTAGCATCACCAGCATCACCATCATCACCTAGCATCACGACCGTCTAGCAGCATCATCGTCCTCAGCATCATCCTCACCAACAGCAGCATCATCATCCTGAGCATCATCAATGACATCACCATAATCACCATCCGAGTCATCATCCTCATCAGCAGCATCGGCAGTATCAGTATCAGTATCAGCATCATCATACTTAGAAGGATCATCCGCATCAACATCATCAGCATCAGCATCATCAGCATCATCATCAGCAGCATCCTCAGCAGCAAAAGCATCAGCATCATCAGCAGCATGAGTATCGTCATTACCGTCATCATCAAAACCAGCATCATGAGCAGCAGCATCATCGCCACCATCGTCAGCACCAATAGTCACCTCATCGTCGTTATCAGCAGCAACATCAAAATGAGCATCCGTAACATAATCAACATCGTCATCATCAGTACCACGACCATCCTCACCAGCAACATCATCGCCATCAGCATAATCAACCTCGTCATGATCGGCATCATCAGCATCATCATCTTCGGCAGCAGCAGCATTAGCATCATGATCATCCGAATCAGCATCATCATCATCAGCAGCATCAACATCGTCGTCGATATCAGCATCAGCATCAGCATCCGTATCATCATCAGCGCCACGGTCACCATCAGCACCACCACCATATCCATACTCATAAGCATCATATTCGTCATAATTAATGATAATCGTCATCATCACCGTCCCCAACACCACCATCAGCATACTCATCATCAGCATCATCAGTACAGTCGTCGTGAGCAGCAACAGCAGCACCTTCACCATCACCATCATCATCATCATCATCAGCATCATCATCATCATCATCATCAACAACATCAACATCAACATCATCACCATCATCATCACCAACGCTATCATTACCATCATCATCGCTATCATCACCATGACTCGTCGTCATCCTCCTCCTAGTCGTCGTCTTCGTCGTCTTCGTCGTCGTCGTCCTCATCATCACCCTCATCGGATACGGACCAGGCGACAGAGACGGCGGCGGTCACGACGACGACGGCGGCAAGGCAGGGCAGCGACGGCGACGGCGGCAGCTCCAGCGGCGGCGGCGACAGCGCGGAGGCTCCCACCGAGCTGCTGGACTCGGGCCTCGTCCTCGTCCCCTGCGGGCCGCGGCCGGGGGGGGGGGCCAAGGGCGGAGGAGGAGGGAAAGAAAAGGAGGGAGGAGGGAGGCGGAAGGCGGGGGGAGGAGATACAGGAGGATGGGGAGGAAGAAGGCGCGGGGGCGGGGGGAATCAAGGGCCTCGAAGTGGCAGGAGGAGGGACGGGGGAAGGAGAAGGAGGAAGGGGAGCAGGAGGAAGAAGTGCTCTACACGTTCTTCGACGTGAAGAAGTCTAGACCGTCATCCTTTCTTCGGCTTCGGACTCAGAGAGGGCCGTCGGAATTCGTCGCGAAGTTGCACCACTGGACGGAGGCCGGTTCCTTTACACAGTGGAGCTCTCGCCTGAGACTTCTGCGGTTTTTCTTGCCCGAAATGTCACCATGTGCAACCACCACTCGGATGGAGGGCAGCTCCCTTTCAAAATGGAGCTCGCCCTTGAGATCTACGCCGATGTGATTAGCCCATACTCAACAGCGTGCCCCGGCCAGCCATGCACATGGAGAGCGGCTCATTTTCGGAATGGGGCGCTCGTTCGACAATTATCCATGTTTGTCTGCTGCGAAGCAAAAGAATTTGCAATAGCTACACGGTGGAAGGCGGCTCGTTTCAGAATGCTGCTGTCGCGTGACACGCACTGAACTTTATGCGAGGAAGGGAATTGGGACGGGACGATATGATGCCGCCTCGTTGCTGTAGATTGTCTCTGCTCTGGTCTTCCTTGTTCCCTCTCGACGAAATTGAGGTCTTCATGATCGGAGGGTCGTTTCGTGCTGTTTTGGGGCCGAAGCAAGTCCGCTCAGTTTCTCGTGTCCTCCTGCACCTCCTCCTCCTCCTCCTTCAAGGCAAACGGCCAAACCCCGGGGCTTTCCTGCCCGACGAGGGATGCAAAAGAGAGCTAATCGACAGCGAAAGGGGGCGAAGGAACCCGCTGCACCTGGCAGATGGCTTCCCAGGCGCTTTTGAACACTGGGCGCGACTGAATGCCGAGAAGAGCGCCCACTAGCGGGGCCGAGATCGGCTGTGGGCAACATGGGGCCACAGAACGTGTGAGGCTGTGCCGACATGGGTGGCGGGGACGCATGCGGGCGCCACTGCGGCCTTCGGTGGAACTCCCAATGGGGCCACGATACGTGTGAGGGTGTGCTGAAATGTGTGGCGGGGACGCATGCGGGCTGCGCCACTGGTACTTTCAGTGGAGCTCCCTATGGAACCACACAGCGTATGAGGGTGTGCTGAAATAAGTGGCGCGGACGCGTGCGGGCTGCGCCACTGGGACCTTCGGTGGAGCTCCCTACGGGACCACGCAGCGTGTGAGGGTGTGCTGAAATGAATGACGGGGACACATGCGGGCTGCGCCACTGGGACCTTCGGCCTAGCTCCCCATGGGGAGGGGGGGGCATAAAACATGTGAGGAGTGTGACGAAGCTGATGGCGATCATGGTGGTGATGACGGCGATGATGACGGCGATGATGATGTGATGATGATGGTAAATGATGATTATGATGCTGACGATAATGATTGATTATGATGATGACGATGGTGATGATAATGACGACGAGGAAGACGAGGGTACAGACCATGATTACGATGAAGATAAGTATGA